CTATTCCAGGTATGTTTTATGCAGCAGATGCCTTTTCAGCCACAACCCAATATTAGAAATCATCCATACACTCTCATTCACACAAACTCATACACTACGGCCAATTTAGCCTACCCAATTCACCTATATCACGTGTTTGGATTGTGGAGGAATGTTTTTTTTATTATTATTGTTTAATACAACTTATAGAGTCCGGCAATTAGTCAATTATCAAATTGAAGCAATAGATTGACGTTTCTCTGCAGTCTCCATCACTCATGTAACAATATGCCAATGTGTGCATCTTACATTTACCTGATTTATAAGGAGATGTGTTGTTATTTTGGTTTTTGTTCATTCACCTGTACTCCGGCTTCAACAAGCTTTAGGGTGCTTTCACATCTGTAGTTCGCTTCATTTGGTCCGGACCAAGGGTATTAAATGATACATTGTTGCATCTTCTGCCGTCTTTGGGCCGTTTTCACACCACACTGCTGGCTTTGGTCCGAACCAGTTGAAACGAACCAAAATGCGGTCATCTGACAAAATCCACATCTCTCATTGGCCAGATGTTGTTGAACATATTTCCTAAACTGCTTATTGATTGGTCAGAATTAATGTGCGGTAAAATGCCTTTGAACTCCCGCAAGTAAACAAAACCTTTGACTGTGGAGGGACGACTGCGCTGACTGATTGTGTCCCTGCTTTATACAAACTATACATTTCGAGAATGAAGCGCGGCCGCGGCTGTAAAAAATGTTTTAATGCATCGCTCGTCACTTCAGGAGGAGGTGTGAATTAATTTAGCTAAACTGCGACATGGTCATCTTGCGGAAATATTACCAACGATCCATCAGGTAATGTTATTCTCTCTCTCTCTCTCTCTGTTGGTAAAGCGCTGTCAACAAATATTTTTCCTCCATATCCCATAATGCACAGCGCATCGGCCTACGGCAGCTAAATTTGTCCAAAAGGCGCAGTACTTTTTGCGGTTGGACCTGTTGTAGTACGGATCATATTCTTACCACTAACGAACCGCTCCAGGGTTCGTTTGAAAGCGTACCGAGACCACCTCTTCAAGCAGGTCTCGGTACGCTTATTCGGTCAGCTTTTGCTGCGCACTCGAGTACGATTGCTGCATTCACACCTGCCCAAACGAACCGCACCAAAAGGGGAAACGAACTCTAGTGCCATTCAATCCAACTAAATAAGGCAGGTGTGAAAGCACCCTTAATTTCTCCAGTTAAGATATATTGAGTGTGAAGTGAATTGAGTTGCGAGCGTCTTCATCAGTGTGTATGCAATGGTGTGTTGATGTTGAGTGTTTGTGTGTGTTCTCCATGTTTGCAGTGATTTCTGCCAAACTCAAGGAAAACAAGAAGAACTGGTTCGGTCCGAGTCCGTATGTGGAGGTGTGTGTGGATGGCCAGTCGAAGAAGACGGAGAAATGCAACAACACACACTCGCCCAAGTGGAAGCAGTCGTTCGCAGTGTGAGTGTGGTTCACTTTCAGACCTTTGTATGCGTGTGTACGGTTGCAAATGTGTGCGTGCATGCGTGTGCCTGCATATGGTTGTGCATATGCATATGTATGTACGTGTGCGAATGTGTGTTTCCATGTGTATGTGCTTTTGCGAATGTGTTGGTGTGTGTGAGTGAGTACAGTTGTGAATGTGTGTGCGTGGTTGCAAATGTGTGCATGTATGCAAAGTTTCAAATGTGTGTATGTGCGAGTGCAAATGTGTGTGTTTGTGTGTGTGTGTGCGCGTGCAAGTGTGTGTGTGTTTGCATACGATTGCGAATTTGTGTGAATGTGCGTATGTGCTTGTAGGAATGTGTGTGCGTGTGCAGATGTGTGGGTGTTTGTGTATGTGTGTGTATACGGTTGCAAATTTGTGTATGTGTGTGCTAGCGTGCATACGGTTTTGAATACGTGTGTGTGCGCATGTAAATATGTGTGTGTGGTTGCGAACGCGTGTGTGTGTGCGTGCGTGTGTGTGTGTATGTGTGTTTGCAAATGTGTATGTGCGTGTGCAAATATGTGTGCGTGCGATTGTTAGTGTGTGCTTATGTGCATGTGTGGGTGTGTGTGTGTGTGTGTGTGTGCATACGGTTGCGAATGTATATTTGTGTGTGCATGTGTGCATACGGTTTCAAATGTGTGCGTATGTGCGAGTGTGTTGGTGAAATGTGTGAGTGTGCGTGCATACAGTTGCGACTGTATGGTTTTGCAGGAGTGTGCATATACGAATATGTGTGTGCGCATGTGCATGTGTGAATGTGTGTGTGCGTACGAACATTCGGTTACGAATGTGTGCATGCATGCATACAGTTTCAGATGTGTACATATGAGTGAGTGTGTTTGTGAATGTGTGTTTGCAAATATGTGGGTGTGCATGCGTGTATATGGTTGTGAATGTGTGCGTGTGTATGTGAGCGTGCAATTGTGTGGGTGTGTTCGTGTGCGTGTAAGTGTGTGTTTGACCGGAAAGCAGCTCTAACTCCTCCAGTTCCACATTCCCCTTCACCAGTGTGTTTTCCTGCAGTTCAGTTCTCCATCAGCCTCTTTTTTTCTTCACCTGAAGCCATTGTTAACAAACAATCAGTCTTGACCACATCACAAGTCTATTATTAGGGCTGTTTGCCAAGTCAGATCTTTTCTTTGTGTGTTTTCAGACATAAAATGAATAGTTAATAACAGATTTTAAATAAAACAGAAAATAGATCTTTCATTCACATTATTTTTATTTATGTCAGGGCTCAACAATAAGGACTGCCCGGTGGCCCAGGGTCAGCGTGATAGCTTGGGACAGTAGACAGGATCATTACTGGCCCGGTTGGGACAGTGCTGCCTTGTCTCTAACATTTAATTAGTCAGTGACTATTTGTCAATTGCATGCATTTTTAGTTTTGCTTTTAAGTCTTTAAACACTACCTACTTTGTGATATCGTAAACACCATATTGCTTTCCGGTTCCTCTTCTCAGATTTGGGGCTCTATTTTGACGGTCCATGCGCAGAACGCAAAACGCAGGGCGCAAACGCTTTCAGGGCGTGTCAGAACGAGTTTTTGCTAATTTAAGGACGGGAAAACCTGCTTTGCGTCATGGCGCATGGTCTAAAAGGGTTGAGTTTATTTTCTTAATGAGTTATAGGTGTGTTTTGAGAATAAACCAATTAGAGTCTCATCTCCCATTTCCTTTAAGAGCCAGCTGCGTCGCGCCAAGAGCGCATTCGCTATTTACAGGACGCAAAGTAAGTCTAAGTGGAAAAAATGAGCATTTCACTAGCAAACAGTTAACAGTTCACAGTGTTTTTAACAGAAAACTGTTAAACAGAGCATCTACTGCGTGACAATGAGAGATAAAGGATCTACTTTGACATTCGCTCTCGTGAATAGGGAAACCTTCACGCACAGACATCAATTAGTCTATAAATAAATACTTTTGTTTGTTAAGCGCAAATATTAGTTTCAAAACTATTTCTAAATTCAGTTCTAATTTCCAGGAAACGAATAAATGAACAATAATAACAAAGTGTGCTCAAAAACCTGAGTTATGTCCTAAAACACATGCTGTGCCCCATATGGTCTAAAACCTGACAGGTGGACAAATCTAAGCTTGTTTTTAATAAAACAAATATAAATATGGATATAATAAATAATACTGCTAATAATAATAACATTATACAAAAGCAAATTGTTATGAATGAACTGAAAAAGCCTCCCGAGATGAAGAAGACATAAAAGCAGTGATTTTTCATATTTATGTAGGCTAGAAAATAATATGTTTTGTAATATTTTAATCCTTTATATTTATATTCTATATCTATTCTTATTATATCCTATATATATCCTCAATATTAAATTTTTTCATATGTAAAGATATTTGCCTGTTGCTCTCTTGTGTGTATTAAGCAGTGTGTAAGCGAGGTGCAACTCTGCGCTGGAGTTTAGACCAGGTTAGTTTTGGTCTAATGAAAAATCTATTTTAGTTTCTCAAAATAGCAACGCGCCAGCGGTCCGCCTCAGAACGCCTTCCTTTTTAGACCAGAACGCCTAGGGGCGCACAAATGAGCGCTAATGCATTTGCTATTAAAACAGCGTAGCGCAACGCCTCAAAACCACTCTTGCGCCAAGCTTAAACTACCAAAAGACTATTGCGCCACACTGCGCCGCGTGTATGATAGGGCCCTTGATGTTTTGAGCATGCAATCTTTTTCCGTAACTTGGTAACAACCAATACAGCGAAGAAACGGCAACATTAAATTATAAGGCTAAAAGAAAACGTCTGTTTCTAATGTCTTGCAAGCAGATATTTATGTGTGAACAACACAATAAAAAAATGAAGTCATGTTTTGCACAGTTTGCCGTCAGTTTGACAAGTCAGCCACCAATTGTTAAATAATTTCGAACCGCAATAAAATACCACCACATTTTCCTCTGCTGTTTTTGTTCGCATGACACTTTTTAACAATTTTAAAGTATTGAAATTGTAGAATCACAGATTTTATTTTTGACACATTACTTAAAATATGCGGCTAAAAATAGCTATTAACTTCCATTTATTTATTTATTTTTTTGGGTGGGGCCACACATTTTGGCAGGGCAAGTAAAAATCTGAACCACTGGCCCGATCGGCCCAGTAGAAAAAATCCTTAGTGTTGAACCCTGTAAGTGTTTATTTTTATTTTAGTGTTTTTTTAAATTCGTAAACGCACCAAAAACCTGAAAATTTTACTTAATTATATCATGACATTTGAAGCTGAATGTTTGATTGTATGATTGAGGAGACCGTCAAAAATAGGAAACTGTCAGGAATAGACCATCAAAAATAGGCATAGTGGAAGACGTTTAAGTTAACATTTTGAAGACATTTTGTGTGTTTTCAATTCAACATTGTTTAGCACTTTTACAATTTAGATTGTGTCAGCATCTTCAGACGAAAAGTCATAGTAAATTGAAACAGTGCCAGTTCAGTTTAGCTTAGTTCAGTGTGGTTTAATGGTCACACTTTACAATAAGGTTCATTAGTTAATGATAATTAATGCATTTACTAACATGAACAAACAATGAACAATACATTTACTACAGTATTTGTTCATGTTAGTTAATGTTAGTTTATGAAAATACAGTTGTTCATTGTTAGTTCATGTTAACTCATGGTGCATTAACTAATGTTAACTAGCATGGACTTGGACATTAATAATGCATTAGTAAATGTTCAATTATGATTAATAAATGCTGTACATGTGTTGTTCATGATTAGTTCATGTTAGTGAATGCATTAACTAATGAACCTTATCTTAAAGTGTTACCGGTTTAATAATCACTACTGAGAGTCCAAACATTGAAGAGCAAATCCATTGATGCGCAGCTCTACAGAACCCGAACCAAGCAAGCCAGTGGCGACAGCGGCGAGGGAAAAACTTCACCAATTGGCGAAAGTGAAGAATAAAAAAAACCTTGAGAGAAACCAGGCCCAGTTGGGCATGACCATATCTCCACTGGCCAAACGTCTTGTGCAGAGCTGCAGTCTAGGCACCGAAGGCTGGAAGCTGAACCTCAGCGAAGACTCGTCTGTCCCTGGAGAGTCACTGGAATCAGTCTCATGCTCTCCACTCCTCCATGATCACCAAAGCAGCTGCTCAGGATACGGCCTGGTCCAGAATTATGGAGACTTTGGGATCATCTCCTCTCTGGTCTTGGATCGAATTAGTGATGCTGCATAGTCTGAGAGCCTCATGATGAGCATCCCCAGGTGGAAATAAAGAATAAAGAGAATAATTAGCGTAGCTGCTGTTCATAGTGTATATAAACAAGATGCAGAATCCTGCGTGGAGCACATTTATGTGTCATACTGCTAACTGATGCACTGAGTGTATGCTTTACTAAACAGATAGATCTTTAATCTAGTTTTGAACTGGGAGAGTGTGTCTGAGCCTCGGACATCATCAGGAAGGCTATTCCAGAGTTTAGGAGCCATAAATGAGAAGGCTCGACCTCCTTTAGTAGACTTTGCTATTCTAGGTACTAGCAGAAGCCCTGAGTTTTGAGATCTTAAAGAGCGGGTTGGATATGATGTATGTATGTGTGTAATTATGTGTGCGCATGCATGTGTGTGTGTTTTTTTTTGCTTTTCTGATGTCTCTGCTTGTGTTTGTCGATCAGGATCGTGACTCCATTCAGCAAGCTGATCTTCCGTGTTTGGAGCCACCAGACGCTCAAATCAGACCTTCTGCTGGGCGTGGCCACACTCGACATCAGCGAGACGCTCAAGTCACATGACATGAAAAGTGAGTTTAAGCCCCGCCCACACTAATTGCACTAAAGCCTGGTTTATACTCTTGCGTCAAGTGACCGGCGTAACCCACGGCGCATCCAACGCGCGTAGCTTCACGGGAAGCGTAGCTCCTTCACGGGACTCCACACTTGTAAACGATCGCTCCATAAGGCTCGCACCATTCAGGCGGCTCTCGGTCCCGCCCAGACTCGTCAGCGCTACCAAGCCGACCAATCACAGAGCTTGCGCTACGCGTCGTTGCGACGTGTAGTTACATTTTCTGAGAGGTGCAAGTCAGCGACACCGATGGCCACGGCGAAGGGCTATGCGTCAGCGCCGTAGCATACGCCGGCGTTTGATGCAGAAGTATAAATCAGCCTTAAAGGGTTCGTTCACTCTGGAATGAAAACTATTAGGTCTTTGCAGTAAATACACAGTTATATATGTGTTTATACCGTATTTGTTAACCTTAAAAATGCATCATGCATACAGAAACCTTGCACTGAGTTCGATGCATGTTCATGAATACTTAATGAAAACACAAAACGGATGTGCTCCTGTCTTTACAAAACATGGAGGAAACAGTGTGTCCGTTAAATTGAGCTGATCCTGAACAGAGACTAGCAGTAAGTCAAATGTCAGACACATACACTATCTGACAAAAGTCTTGTCATCGATCCCAGTTGTAAGAGCAAAAAAAAAATAACTTGACTTCTAGTTGATGGTTTGGAAAAGTGGCAGACGGTTGATTTTCTCAGATGGATCATCTGTTGAGCTGCATCCTGATCATCACCAATACTGCAGAAGACCTACTGGAACCAGCATGGACCAAGATTCTCAGAGAAATCAGTCATGTTTGGTGAAGGAAAAATCATGGTTTGGGGTTACATTCAGTATGGGCGTGTGCGAGAGATCTGCAACATCAACAGCCTGAGGTATCAAGACATTTGTGCTGCCCATTACATTACAAACCGCAGGAGAGGGACAATTCTCCAGCAGGATAGCGCTCCTTCTCATACTTCAGCCTCCACATCAAAACTCCTGAAAGCAAAGAAGGTCAAGGTGCTCCAGGATTGGCCAGCCCAGTCACCAGACATGAACATTATTAAGCATGACTGGCTTAAGATGGAGGAGGAGGCATTGAAGATAAATCCAAAGAATCTTGATGAACTCTATAATTTACATTATATGGCATTTACATCATAATAAGGCATACAAGTCTTGATAGCCAGGGTTTCCTTTAATATCATAGCATGTAATTATATAGTGTTTTATTCTGAGCTTTTCCCGACTCTTGTGTGTTTCAGTCTGTGAGGTGGTGCAGACGCTACAACTGTGCGACAGGGATCAGTCTGACAGCATCGGGGATCTGTCCGTGTGTCTGGACGGCCTGCAGGTGGATCCTGAAATGTTCCAGTCAGCTGAGGCCAGCAACCAGAGTCAGTCGCTCAGTGAGTCTGAAAGACACAGATGGGTTAATAATATACAGTAAAAGATTAAAATTGACTGATAGTTTTGTTTTCCAGATACTTTAAATGGGGAATCTGAGCTCAATGAAGACTCGGGCCGAAGGTATCTCCTCATTCATTAACATTAAATCGTTATTTAAAGTCCTTAATTAACAGTCAAAGTACAAGTGGAAACTAGACAGACTTTCAAGTTGGGTTTAGTTGATAATTTACTGTAATTTAAAGTTTAAACAAGCAAGCAAGCAAACAAACAGATAGTCTGGTTTCTAGGGTGATTAAACATTATGCTAACATGTTATTGCACATTGACAAGCGTGTTTCTAGCATAAATTTTTCAGATTTCCAGTATGCTTGAAGGCATTATTCACCCCCAGAAATGTAAATGAGATCACCTTTTACTTACCATCAAATGGTTTTGGTCATGATTCATCACATTCCTAGCATATTTCTATTTGAAATAGCACATTGCTAACATGAAATAACACATTGGTGACGTGTTTTAAGATGTTGTTAGCATGTGTTATGAGCATAGTTAATTTTTTTTTTAGATTTTTGTTAGTTGCTTGTATTTTTCTAGAATAAATTAACACAGACTGCATGTTTTAGCATGTTGCTAGCATGTTGTCTTAGAATTCAGCAATTTGTAAACATCCCTTTATGGTTTTTGCTAACATTGCTAGCATGAATGGGGTATATGCACACAGACTTTTAATTTCAGTCAGCCAGCCAGCTCCAAAGCTTCTTGTTAATTGTCATCCCATATAAAATCGCCGCGTTTAAGATCTGATTTCTTTAAAACTCAGTGATCTTCACTGCCTGATAGATATATGAAATAAAGTGGGTCTCAAACCAAATAAGAAGCACTGCATTCAATTATATTTTTCTGCACCATGTCTTTTAAAATATGGGAGCAAGTTTTACCCCAGTATTTTCAAAGGAATTTCAATGCTGTAAAAGGAACCTTTTGAAATTGGAAAAAGTCACATGAAGTTCATCCTTGGCTGAAAAACACTGACTGTTAGCCCATTAGCACGCTGTAAAAAATGATATGATCAAAGTCATGATAACAATTTTTTATATTAATTATAGCTTAAATAAAATAAGTTAATCATGTTTCTAACATTTTTTTCCCAAAATATATATATTTTTTTGGGTTTTTGTTTGAACTACAGAACAAAATACATAGTAAACATAAAAAAAAAAAAAAAAAAAAAAAATATATATATATATATATATATATATATATATATATATATATATATATATATATATATATATATATATATATATATATATATATATATATATATATATATATATATATATATATATATATATATATATATATATATATATATATATATATATATATATATATATATATATATATATATATATATATATATATATATATATATATATATATATATATATATATATATATATATATATATATATATATATATATATATATATATATATATATATATATATATATATATATATATATATATATATATATATATATATATATATATATATATATATATATATATATATATATATATATATATATATATATATATATATATATATATATATATATATATATATATATATATATATATATATATATATATATATATATATATATATATATATATATATATATATATATATATATATATATATATATATATATATATATATATATATATATATATATATATATATATATATATATATATATATATATATATATATATATATATATATATATATATATATATATATATATATATATATATATATATATATATATATATATAATCAGACATACTGTGAAAATCTGCATTTTCACTAGCCACAATTTTGTTATTGGGAAAATATTTTTATATGCATAAATATGACTTTGACATGCTAAAATTACTTGATTTAGATTTTTTTTGTCCACATGCCTTCTTATTCATTTCACGTTTTGTGTGTCGTGTATGAGCACATGGGTCATGGTTTAATGACTTTTCAGAACTCAAAATTAAGGATTTACCTGCTTTATCTCTGACCACACCAAACAATAATTATTTCTTAGCCACAAATTTTAAATGTGTCAAACAAGCTAAATATAGCTGTATACTATACTTTTTATTTAACAAAACATTTCTTTAAAAAAAACAAAGAAAAGCAATTGACTTTTTAAAATTATTATTGTCATGTATCAAAAATATGCACAGTAATCTGTCCTCGCTAAAGGTCTCTCAGATCAGTTAACTACACATAAATGAAGAGTTCATTAAAGCAATGTTGTTGTAAAAAAATGATAATTAAGCCATATGAACAAAAATAACCGTAAGCAAATGAAAGCGGGTGAAAAACATACTGTGTGATAGGGATGATCGCACGGTTAAGGCCAATTAATAATCTGTTCAAAGCGAAAGCAAAAAGACACATTTGGAGCTCTTGAAAGCAGCAACACTGTGTGTGCATAGCATTACTTTTTTGCCTGACTATTTGAAAGAGATCCGATCACAGTTGCGTTCCAGCCACGCATGCTTCAATGAAGGAAACAGGAGCACGCATGCGCTTTAAAAAGTCGCGCGCATCACATCAGCTGTTAGCGCGAGTGGTTATCCTCTCATTTGGTATTCTTCTGCTCGTGCGAATGCAATTTTTTTGTTAGTCGTTCTGTTTCTCCATTCTAAGATCTCATTTGCACGCATGTTGGGTCATTCTTATAGTCGAACCCTGCTTTTAGGAAAACTACAAGTTAAAAATTATTTTCAACCAGCCAAAGTGGCTAGTGGGATTATCTGTCTAACCCGCCAAAGCTGATATCTACCCGTATTTGGCGGGTTGGCGAGTGTTAATGTAAAGCCCTGTAAACACATTTCCTACTGTACGTTGCATTGCTACAACTTTTAAACCCTCATATTACATATGTTCATGTAGTTGTATCTTGGCCAAATGTTCTCCTGTCCTAACAAACCATACATCAATGGAAAGATTATTTATTTATGAGACATAAATCCAATTTTCAAAGAAAAACTGACCTTAATGACTGAAATTATTGTCTAGATCAGCGGTCTCAAACTCGCGGCCCGCGGGCCATTTGCGGCCCTCAGTGCAATATTTTGTGGCCCGCGCTGACCGCTGTACACTGACAGAATCAGCGGAGCGGGGAGAGAGAGCGCTCCCCGCTCCGCTGATTCTATCCGTACACAGCGGTCACTGGCATTCCCCGCCCGCCGTGTAATCAAAGGGGCGGGGATGCCGGTGACGTCACCACGCACCCTGCCCCTTTGTTAGACTCTGTGACAGGCGGGAAGTGTTAGGAGGGAACTCGCGCCGGCCAGAACCAAGGTAAGCTGTTCCCGCCCCTGCCTGCCACTTAGCTACCTATCTGCAGCCTGCCACCTACCTATCTGCAGCCTGCATCTTATATATATTATAGGTAGATGCTGCTGGCTGTAACTAGGTAAGTGGCAGGCTAGGATCTATAGGACCTATATACTGCCTGCAGCACCCACCTAACTACCTTTATACAACCTGCACCTACCTATGTACCTATATACAGCCTACTTCAGGTCCTACAACATTAGAGTGTCAGCTCCTCTGGTACAGACTGATGGGACTGGAGTGGGGTGGGGGTGTTTTATTTATACATATATACGCCTTTTTTTTAGGTGAGGGAATGGAAGTTTTGTGTGAGTTCCCCCACTTTTTTCCCTAGGACTTTTTCCTAGGACAACTGCTTCCGCTCTAAAGCCAAATGTGGTTCAGATTTGTGAGAAGAAGCGCTGTCAAGTCTCTGGCAGCAAGGAGTAGGCAAAAGATGCCATGTTCAGAAGAACTGTTCATAATCTTCACTCAATGTTCTATTAATGTTCAGGACACTTCATGTTCAGAAGAAATGATTAAAACTGTTAATAATGACATTTGAGGACTTTTTTTTTGTGAAATCCCTTATGCGGCCCAGCCTCACCCAGACTTTGCCTCCTGCGGCCCCCAGGTAAATTGAGTTTGAGACCCCTGGTCTAGAGTGACAAATAGCAGTGCAAGTTCTCTTACCATTGTTATTGTTCAGATGACTGAAGCAAAAATGTAATAGATTTTTTTGAGGAGTTCCACATGTCTGGAATTATTATTATACGAGTGATTTTGGACTGAAGATTTGGTGCGTTTCCTGATGATTGTGTGTGTGTGTGTGTGTGTGTAAGCAGCAGAGATCCATCTCCTTCAGTGTCAGAGGGTCAGGATCGTCCGGCGGCTCCTAACGGGCGAGTGAATGGCTTGGATTCTCCTTCAGTTTCTGCCAGAAGCTCTCGAGCTCAGAGACCTCCGCGGCCCTCGCGCCCTCCTCCACCCACCCCTCGCAGACCCACATCTTCTCCAGGTTAGACTAGGCTTGTCATCATATCTATATTTCTGGTTGTACGATATATTGCACCAAAACTCATTGAGATAAATTATATTATGGTCATAATTTACAGTAAGGGTTCACGAGTTTGTGTATTTGCTATCATGAAGTAGCAACAAACCATACTCGCACAGGGTTTAATAATCATAGGTCAACATTTATAAATGCATTATTAACATCCAAATTCATGCCAGTTAGCATTAGTTAGTGCACTGAGTTAGCATGAGCTAACAATGAATGTCTTTATTATCATTAACTAATGTTAACAAGCATGAATAAACACTGTATCATTCACTGTTCATGTTAGTAAATGCATTAACATTACATGCATTGTAACTAATACAGCCTGATTGTAAAGTGTTACCAGTATTATTTTCATTTTAAGACCATTTTATGCCACTTATGATTGTTTAATACAAGAATAACAATATAACAGCATCATAACGCAAGTACACACTTACAAAAACACCAAATATTTTACTTTTAAGAATATTTAATTATAATTATAGTCATTTTAACGATTGACTAAGTAGCCATCGGAATAAGAATGTAACAAAACGTTCACTCACCGGCCACTTTATTAGGTACACCTGTCTGACTGCTCGTTAATGCATTTAGGCATATACATATATATGGTCGAGACGATCTGCTGCAGTTCAAAGCGAGCATCAGAATGGGGAAGATTTAAGCGACTTTGAGTGTGGCATGGTTGTTTGTCACAAAAAATTTCAGAAACTCACACACAACCATCTCTAGGGGTTTACAGAGAATGATCTGACAAAGAGGAAATATCCAGTGAGCGGCAGTTCTGTGGGTGCAAATGCCTTGTTGATGCTAGAGGTCAGAGGAGAATGGCCAGACTGGTTTCAGCTGATAGAAAGGCAACAGTAACTCAAATAAGCACTCGTTAATACCGAGCTCTGCAGAAGAGCATCTCTGAACACACAACACGTCCAACCTTGAGGCGGATGGGCTACAGCAGCAGAAGACCACACCGGGTGCCGCTCCTGTCAGCTAAGAACAGGAAACTGAGACTACAATTCACACAGACTCACCAAAACTGGACAATAGAAGATTGGAGAAAAGTTTCCTGCTCTGATGAGTCTCCATTTCTGCTGACACATTCGGATGATCGGCTCAGAATTTGGCCTCAACAACATGAAAGCATGGATCATCCTGCCTTGTATCAGCGGTTCAGGCTGGTGGTGGTGGTGTAATGGTGTGGGGGAGATTTCCTTGGCACACTTTGGGCTCATCAGTACTAATTGAGCATCGTGTCAACGCCACAGCCTACCTGAGTATTGTTCTGACCATGTCCATCCCTTTATGAGGACAGTGTCTCCATCTTCTGATGGCTACTTCCAGCAGGATAACACACCATGTCATAAAGCGTAAATCATCTCAGACTGGTTTCTTGAACATGACAATGAGTTCACTGTACTCAAATGGCCTCCACAGTCACCAGAGCTCAATCCAATAGAGCACAATTCGTCAATATGGAACAAAATCTCTGAGGAATATTTCCAGTACCTTGTTGAATCTATGTCACGAAGGATTAAGGCAGTTCGGAAGTCAAAAGGAGGTCCAACGTGGTACTTGTGTTTCTAATAAAGTGGCCAGTGAGTGTATATCGTAAACAAAAAAATTAAGCGTTAACGCAAAAGGTAACAAAAGCTAGACAAAGCAACATGTTCACATTAGGTGGAAATCAATACTTCATTACAATGTACTTATTGTTTAAATATTGTATATATATATATATTTTGATTCACACATTAAAGTAGTAAGTACATGATAGTTCCCTAATATAAATGTCTGTAATTAAAGAAACTCAACCTGCTTTGGAAGAAGTAAAAAGCAAATTAATAAGGACAGAATGTTAGAATTTAGGTGCACTGTCACTTTAACAGATTTAAAAACATTGCATTGTGGAACTGATGATCTGTTTCTGCGCAGCTTCCTCTACCGGCTCATTTCCAGACGGCAGCGATTCGTCTCGTTCAGACACTCCAGTTCGGAATCCCACAGGGGGAGGAGCCTCTGATTCTAGCCCCGCCCCCACAGTGGAGCAGCCTGGTAGGACAGCCCTTAGTGTAGGCCCCACCCCCAGCAGGATCCCCAGCATGGTGAACGCTGGACCGCTGCCACCCGGGTAAAACATATATATGAGATATAAGAGTCTTGTTTTGAATTCTAATGAATGTATGCTGACAAATGTCTGTCTGTGGGGACCAAAAACACCCACGTGTGTGTGTGTCTGTGTGTGTCTGTGTGTGTCTGTGTGTGTCTGTGTGTGTCTGTGTGTGTCTGTGTGTGTCTGTGTGTGTCTGTGTGTGTGTGTGTGTGTCTGTGTGTCTGTGTGTGTCTGTGTGTGTCTGTGTGTGTCTGTGTGTGTCTGTGTGTGTCTGTGTGTGTCTGTGTGTGTCTGTGTGTGTGTGTGTGTGTGTGTGTGTGTGTGTGTGTCTGTGTGTCTGTGTGTCTGTGTGTCTGTGTGTCTGTGTGTGTCTGTGTGTGTCTGTGTGTCTGTGTGTGTCTGTGTGTGTCTGTGTGTGTCTGTGTGTGTCTGTGTGTGTGTAGTTGGGAGCAGCGTGTGGATCAGAATGGCCGTCTGTACTTTGTTGATCATGTGGAGAAGAGGACGACATGGGAGAGACCAGAGCCACTGCCGTCAGGGTGAGAAACGGAACACACACAAACACTCTAACACTTGGTCATACACACACACACACACACACACACACACACACACACACTCTAACATTTTCACACGCACACTCAAACTCGCACGCGCGCGCGCGCACACTCACAACACTCTCGCACTATCTCTTACACACGCTAACACTTACACTCACTCACACAAACGTACACACTTACACAAACACACTCTCACATACACACTTACACTCGCTCACACAAACACACTCTCAAACACTCAAACTTTCAAACATATTAGTGCACACACACAATCACTCATTTACGCACACACTCACAACACTCTCGCACACACTCTCTCACACACTTGCACACACACATTCTCAAACACTGTAGCGCACACACACATACACTCGCTCACACGTACTCACATTCTCTCTTACAAACGCACACACAAACTCACTCTCACACACACTTACACTCGCTCACACAAACACGCTCAAATTCTCAAATACACTACTGTGCACACACACAATCACTCATTTACGCACACACTCACAACACTCTCGCTCATACACTCTCTCTCACACACTTGCACACACACACTCACACACATTCTCAAACATTCTAGTGCGCGCACACACGCTCACACACACTTACACTCGCTCACCTGTACTCACACTTTTCTCTTAGACTAACACACTCGCTCCCAAACGCACACACTTACTCACTCGCACACACAAACGCACTCTTACACACACTTAAACTTGCTCACACAAACACACGCACTCACTTACTCATACACACAAACGCACTCTCACACACACACACACACTTACACTCGCTCACACAAACACACTCTCAAACACACTCAAATTATCAAACACACTAGTACACACACAATCACTCATTTATGCACACACACTCTCTCACACACTTGCACACACACTCTCAAACACTCTAGTGCACACACACTTACACTCGCTCACACGTACTCACACTCTCTCTTACACTAACACACTCGCTCACCCAAATGCACGCACTTACTCACTCACACACACACACAAACGCACTCTCTCACACGCACACACTTCCACTCGCTCACACAAACACACGCGCTCACTCACTTACACAAAACGCACTCTCACACACGCACTTCCACTTGCTCACACAAACACTCACTAACTCACTTACTCATACACACAAACGCACACACACACACACACACACACTTACACTAGCTCACCCAAACGCACTCAAACACACTCAAATTCTCAAACACACCAGTGCACACACGCAATCACTCATTTATGCACACACTCATAACACACTCGCTCACACACTCGCTCACACACTTGCACACACACACTCTCACACACTTTCTCAAACATTCTAGTGCACACACACTTACACTCGTTCACTCATACTTGCATTCTCTCTTACACACACTAACGCTTACACTCGCTCACACTAACGCATGCACTTACTCATTCACACAAACACACTTTCTCACACACACTTACACTCGCTCACACAAACACATTAGTGCACATACACAATTACTCATTTACACACACACTCACAACACTCTCGCACATACACTTGCACACACACTATCACACACATTCTCAAACACTCTAGTGCACAAACACACACACACACACACTTACACTTGCTCACATGTACTCACACTCTTTCTTACACACACTAACACTTACACTCGCTCACACAAACGCACTCTTACACACACACTTATACTCGCTCACACAAACACACGCACTCACTCATACACACAAACGCACTCTCTTTCATTCATTCATTTTCTTGTCGGCTTAGTCCCTTTATTAATGCGGGGTCGCCACAGCGGAATGAACCGCCAACTTATCCAGCAAGTTTTTACGCAGCAGATGCCCTTCCAGCCGCAACCCATCTCCGGGAAACACCCTCAATCACTCATTTACACACACAAATACACTCTCAATCACATTCTCACCCTCACACACACACTTTCATTCACTCACTCAGATCATGTTTTAACACACAATTAAATGTTAATTAATTGATGTTAATGTAATGTGACTGTACACCTGTGTGTTGATCTACAGTTTTCATCATACAGATGTAGATGCATTAGAGTTTAGATAAAAGTCTAATGTTTACTGTTGTCTGTGTTTGTCTGGGTCAGCTGGGAGCGGCGCGTGGACCCGATGGGTCGGGTGTATTTCGTGGATCACATCACCAGAACTACCACATGGCAGCGGCCCACCATGGAGACGGTGCGCAACTATGAGCAGTGGCAGCACCAGCGCAGTCAGCTGCAGGGGGCAATGCAGCAGTTCAACCAGAGGTTCATCATCGGGGTCAGGATCACACACACACACACACACACACACACACACACACACAGACTTATAGATACTTAAGCCCTACTTCTGAAGTTATTTTTCATTCATTCAGTGGCTTTACTTCACAAGTATTTATAAATGCTTTAATATTGTCTTTTATTGTG